ATAGGTTCAAATTTTATTATTATCTAATTTCAATATTATTAATTATATTATTTTTAATTTTGCATACACAGGGTCTGCAGGCAGGTATTTTTCAAGATCAACCAGCTTCCACAAAGGCAAATCTTTAAATGTAACATCTAGTTAGTAATATTTAATCTTATTATCTAATATTATAGTGAATTACTTTTGTGTATTTTGATTGTTATAGCTTGTTCAATACTTCTTACTGGAACTATTGATGCGTGGTTTGCCGTAATAATTGCATTTTGTTGTCTTAAGAAATTAACATAATTTGAAATAGTTTTAATTAAATTCTCATAGAGTTTATGAAGCTAATTAAATATCGATTTGAACATCTATGGTGATGTCGTAAACAACACAAGAGTTTGACAATAAAGACTTAATTTGTTTGCATCAAAAGGCTTTCGTGACGCTTTATATAATTCAGGGTTGGTACAACCAAAAAATTCTAAAAATGATTCAGGAATATGATAACTATGTTCTTTAAACTTTAAATGTCCACACATATCAATATACCAAATTGCTTTGTACAAACAATTAACAAAATATTTTTCTAGTATATTAGCATATTCAGCTGTAAACCATCCTCCGCCATTTTTATAAATATTCAATGATATTATTATACAATATATTTTTTCTGTTTAATCGTGTTGATTTCAAAAAACTTGGTAAATATATTTGTTTTTTACGTGAATTTCGCATAAGTATTTTGAGAGCATTTGGAAGAGATACTGAATGGGAAGTTATAGGATTATTGGATTTAAGGTGGTAATATACATTTATACCAAATGTTTTTGTTATTTTGATAATTTCACAATCAAAACTTGCTTGAATAGTTGTTGCATCTATAGATTGACTCAATTCAATACTTTCAATAGTTTCAAAGAAGTCTATATTAATATTGCATTCTGGTAATATTTTTTCAATAATGAGTTTGTCAAAAAACTCTTTAATAGATATCTCATACGGAACAGAATAGATATACCAATCATGAAGAATTTTTGACCCTTTTGAAATGCGTATATTTGCAAATAGCATATTTTTGTTAAATTGTATTATTAAGAACTTAAAGTAAGACTTTTATAAGTTTATTTTTTATTAATTCTGAATCTCTAAACTGACATTTTGTTTAATTGTTTATTACAGATAATTTTTTATTTTTTATATAAAAAATTCGCAAAATCTTGAACATATGGATATTACTTTTTTATTCTCAGATAAGTATATTTGTTTAGTTTTATTGAATTATTATAGATTTGTTTTGTCAATTATTGATAAAGTCATAGAAGCAGTGATAATATGCAACATGGTGATCAAAAGAACAATATCAAGGGAGTATACTGAAGAGTGTTAATCGTGCAAGTTGATCATATAACAGGATTATTGATAAACATGATATATATTGAATTTGTGTTGTAATATTAAAATAACTGATGCATTACTGATTTCTTATACATGCGCCTTTTTTGAATATATTAATTTAGATTAGAGGATATTTTGGATTCTTTGTTAGTATCTAAAAGATCATTAAAGTAATCTTTTTTTTTAAAAAAATGATTGCTTTTAGATTGCATTTAGGAAATAGTTGTGCAATCTTAATATTGCATCTATTCTTGTCTCCGTGATAACATTAGTCAGTTAGGTACATATGTATGTAAATACTGAAAACACTATTAGTACTGAGATAATTTTCAAATTGTTAGAATATAATATCTTGTTACTATTTAAAAGAAACACCTTACTATATACAGTGCTATACGATATCTTAATTTTTCTTTATTGATATGCATTTACTTGAGTAATATGAATTTTCTTAATACAAATAAAAAAATATTATATCAGCTAAAATTACAAAATCAAAGGAATTTGATAGTTTATTTTTGCTTGTTAGTTATGCGCATTTCATGTATATTATGTGTATAGATGCAACAATTCTTTTTTGAATTTTGCCACTTGTATATAAGGATCAACCAA